CAAAGCCTCACACTACGGCCTTGAGATTCCGTCTCAAAGCTCTGATCATGCTGTTAGTCAATTCACACTCCCGGTTTGGAAATGAACCCAGTGTCACAAAGCAATCCCCTTCAGACCCTGGGCACGCAGACAGGATTCACAAAGCCTGATACAATGGGCAAGGCTCCTGGCCCCTGGTACAGGAGAAGAAAAGGATGACAGTAACTACATCCCTGAATGTCCATGAGGTATTCCTTCAGCCGTGTGGCATCACTGCTTCTGCTCTCCTGAGCAGGCTCTTCAGACAGGCAGCTTTTGAAGGCTTTATGCCAACTTGACCAGTAGATGCTTCCGAGGAAGTGAATGAATTCTTCCTGCTATTAGGATAGCCTTGTCCATTTGTTAGTCTTCATTCCTAACAGGAGCAAAAGTACCTGCTTTCCTGATTCCTGGCACGTTCCTCTGCATAAGGGTCTTCCTTCTGCATTATACCAGCGTCAGCCTGCACAGGAAAACCTGGTCAGTCATGTATCAAACCGATTTATTAATTCAATCACACCATGTTCTATATGAACTAGGCTTGCCAGCATTAATACAATGATGCCATATTCAGGTAGGCATAATATAAACAGACGCAGGTAAGATTTCTGCACTCTGTGCAGACAGGAAGAAACCCTGCCTGAACTTAAGGAGGGGCAGTGATAAGTCCTTAAGGCTTAACTAATCCATGTCACTGTAGGGCAGCTGGTACTCACCCTGAGTAAATGAACATCATCTACCCTGCTTACATCTGTAAAATACACTAAGTTAGAAGCCATGCAATGCCCAGACAGACTGGTGCTCCTTGGAATGCATAAACTCCCACAGTTCACATGTCCTGGTTTCTCTGAGTAGGGTCCCCCGAGGGCCACAAGGCTCCAAGAGTGTGGAATTCAAGTCATTTTTGCTGCCACTGTATGAAGCAGTCTCTTACTTTACTGCTTTCGCTCTCAGATGACTTCTCTTCATCAGGCACTGATTCACTGACAAGCAAACACTGCTGTGCCGTTCCCCTCTAAAACCACCATCAGAACAAAGTACTCTGAAATCCAGCTGTGATGCACTACAATATCTGGCAGTTGAGTTAAACAGACCAAAAATACAGAGAACGCTCTTGATGGCTTGCTCTAACAATGGGTTTGCTGAATGCTCCAGTGAGAACGATCAAGATGTTTGGGCGCTGCTTGAACAGTTTCCATATTAAGTTTTAAAAAGACTTCAGAAACTGAGGAAAGGGAAAAACAACAAGAAGAGATAATGATTAAATAGCACACACATGACAGGAGCTGGACACCTGGTTTCACACCTCCATTTGTAACTGAAATCCCGTTTGATGGTGTTGCAGATGCCACGCTGTAACACTGCTCTAACCGACTGATCCTACTGCACTTCATCCTTTCACGACCAGGTTCACCCTCCTCTTGATGCCCACGGGCTTCCCACATTAACATTAACAGCAGGCAGGCATGTGCATCAGTGGCTGAATTAAATGGATGTTTAGCTGTTACTGAGAATTCGGCTTCAGGAGGAAGTCAGTGTGCCTTACAAGTGACAAGCCGTCATTGTAAAGACTGCTTTAAACAGGCCAGGTTATTTTCCTCCAGGAAAGTGTTTTGAATAAGTAAAGGGCTCGGTACAAGTCTCATTTAAATGAAAGGGCATTCTGCTGTTAGTTTCAAGTCGGAACAGCTCGGGCCAAAAGGCTTCCCCTCAAACTTCATTCTCTGGTTTTACTGCAGACTTTTTGTTAGGATTTGTATGCGTCAGAGCGATCTGATTTTGATTCTTACAGTAAAATGTCTCCTTTGAAGCAAAAAATGTCTTCTTCTGCTTCAGTATATTAAACCTGATGGTTTGCCTTCAGGATGGCTTGCATCTAAGATGGTCTGCAGCAGTGCCTTACTGTAAGAGGTGCAGAGAGCCTCTGACATCTAAGGTCCAGTGACTGCACAGACAGCTTCTCAGGGTGCTGGGGAGTTTGCCAGAGCAAGTCATTAGGGAGAAAAGAGAATAAATCAGTAACAGAAACACAAACTTTAGACAACAACAACAAATGGCTCCAAGGGTGTGAAAAATGGGAAGGGTCTGATGCTGGCACCGCATCCCGCCATCAGGAACGGCTGTGACAAACGACAGGCGAAAAGCATCTCCTACAGCCAATGCCATCAAATCTGCTTTCAGCTCAAGTACTCTCTACAATGATAAACAAGGTTCAGTTCCAGTAAGAGCACATACATTCATTCCAAGGGCTTTCCAGATTTTGCAATCTAATTAACGAGGTTAGAGAATTTTAATCGGATGTAGAAATCAAGCCATATTTTTCCAGTAGCAGAACTCACACTTTGCCTAACGTCCACCTTCGCAAGGGTGGTTACAAGAAGGATGTCATCCCTCCGCACAGTGATTTCATGCTTGCCTGTGCTGCCCTTCACAATCTTGCCCTTAGCACAGAAAGGACCTAACCAACTTCTTCATATTTACACCACTTTAAGAAGGCCTATGTGAAATCTGCTAAACATTAAGTCAAATAAGTCACATACAGAAAGGATGCTGTTATTTTTGAGAACAGAATCTGTGAGATTGTCACTGTTCTATCACTATTTAAGGCTACACTGTCGGGAAACAGATTCAATTCAGGGATTGTAATCTCCACATGGTATACTGGCACATGGAAAAGTACTTCATGTGATAACTTCTTCCAAGGACTCGCTGTACTTTTGAACAAAGGTAAACAACAAAAAGCTACGAGTAAAGAGCACAGACAACTCTGAGGAAAACACAAATGCCTCCAGTTCCTTTCTGATGCTTTGTTCTCCAGAAATTCTGTTCCATGCTTAAGACCTAACTGAAGGCACAAAAGCTATGAGCACTTAGGCAGGGTTTCAGAAAACCAGCATCTAAAAGGCAGATTTCAAATACAAAAGTATAGGTTTGCATAAAGCAGCAAGAAAAACAAGTCTGAAATAAATCAAATCATAAGAAAGGCATCCAGGACGAAAACCAACATGACAGCTATTGATACTCTACCTAATTCATACAAATCCCAGGGCGAATCCAGTTATTGGCGTGACTGGGTTTGCATGGCAAATCCATATTCCACTGCCTCAAAAGTGAGCATTCATTTTCACTCTTTATACAGTCAGTCCCCAGCCCTTGTACACTATAAACCCAAGTAAGCCAAACCTCCTTCCGTGAAGCACAGACTGGACCTGCATACCATGGGAGAAGGCACACCATCTAGAGAGATTCCTCTGTCCAAATGTGCCCAACATATTCATATAAATCCCTGCTGTGTCTAAATTAAGATTTTAGTGTCTTAGAAATCTGAATGCTTGGATGTAAAATTGAAGCGGCGCAACCTACAAACAGAAAGCCAAGTCATGACACAGTTTAGCTCAGTTTGGTTCTGCAAGAGGTTATTTGCTGCCCCTTCCAAACTGACTTCTTCACTTACTCAGTGGTGGTGGTAAGTATATTCTCCACTGGAGTGAATTTGTTCAGTTCTTGCCGTTAAATGCTGCACGTTATTTCATAAAGCAAAACCTGTGCAAACATCAGGAGACAACTTTGGGCTTCAGGAAAGAGTATCCAAATATCCACAAACAGAACGAGTAAAACCACTTCCACACCCATTAAAAAATCGCTATTGAGCAGCATCGATGTCAGTGTTTCTATCATACGGAAAGCTGGAAGGATTGGGAAAATCCAAGCGTTTTCCTTACGCGTATAAAATCAACGTTGATTTTTTGTTAAACTCTACACTCCACATTACGTTTCACAAACTGAGCAACAAAAAGGACTGAAAGAGATAACCTGCACTGTACTACCGCAAGACCATTCCTGGTTCAAGACAGTTTTTGCATTACCTGTAGTTAGTAAACAAAGCTTCTGTAAATGAAGCAGCAGCGCAATACCAGGGTGGAAAAACCCAGAAAGGCCTGTAGTGACGTTGTCAATCTCTAAATCAATAAAAACTGAAAGCCTGGCTCTGCAAAGAAACCCCTCCAAAGGCACCAAATAAACCATGAAGTGGAATTACAGTGTCTATCAAAAAGGACTTTGTGATATTGTTAGTCAGTGTGAGAATGTGAAACCCACGTGGTATGTCTTTATTGTTGAATACTCACACTCTCGATCTCACTGTACTTCACTGTCTGTATATCCTCAAGCCAGGATTGCTCACAAGTATTATATAGAAAATCAAGAGAAAAATACTTGTCCTAATGAGAACGCTCTAGGTTATCGCTAATTCTCTCAACACAGTCCAAAATTTCACCCTTCTAACCACCAAGTCCTACACCAGTCACTGAGATCCCATATTAGTAAGACGTCACCATCATTTATAAGAAAAGAAATCTCTTGCTTTCCATACAGCAGCAATGAAATGAAACTTAGAATTACACAGAAAAAGAGTATTTTGAGTTGGGAAGCTCTTTAAGAAAATGTTTTCTCAATAATCCACAGTGAATATAACACGAATTATATTCAGCAGCCAGTAAATTAGCGTGATTCCCACGAACGTATCTGGGACGAATAGGAATCTCAGAAGCACTGGTATTCCCCCAGTTTCACTGGAAGCCATAAGGGTTTATCTGATGGCAAACTTGCTTGGGATACTGTGGCTTCTCAGTCGTGTCATTAGAAAGCTGTGTTTCCCAACCTGAACATAAGCAAAGCAAACTTCTAACTTTGAGTGTGAACATTCATTCAATTGCTGGCAAATCTCTGGAAAAATAACTTACTGAGGGTTCTCTTCTCCAAGAAGAAAGGTTAAAAACTCCTCGTCTGCTCTCTACTTCCAACACAAAGCATATGGCATTCCCTAAAACAGCTCAGAAGAGATTCAAATGGAGACCTATTTCAATCAAAGCCACAGCACTTTGCATTCAGTCAGAGTAGCTCATCCGCTGCTACTTCCTTCACGTCTTTCAACCTACCTTCCGACAGCTGGCATCTTAAAGAAACCTGTATCAATTCATTCTATGGAAAAATATTTTAGTAAAGTCGCGCTCTATGAGCTTCCTACATTGGAATACACGAATACAGGAAGTGCTTTCAACAGAAAGTTACATAGTTTTACAGTACAACCTGTCTAAGGAGATTTGGAAGGGACCAAACTAATGATCTGGTCTCTTTGGATTAGGCAGAAGTACAGGCAAAAGGGGAAAACCCAATTTATGCCATATATAGAGCTCGTTCCTGTCACAGATTGAAGAAACATTAGCTTGATGCCAAAGTTCACCTGTCGCCGAAATGCTAAGATTTTTCAAGCCAACCGCATATCGAAAAATGAGAACTTATTTGTACTCAGCTCCTGGAAAGAAACTCAGTGTAAACCAACAGCATCGAATTATCTGCTGCATTACCAAGTGTTCTCCACCGGTGGGTTTTAATCTTGCTGTACAGATCATTCAGTTTTTCTCAAAGTGCAAATTATTGACCTTTAATCTGAACACAGGCAGGTCAGAAGCTACAGTGTTAGAGCAATACAAAAATTACACGAGGAGGAGCTTACACTGATTTGGAGAACCTTACATAAAATGTTTCTGAATCCAAAACCACAAAACAAACCCAAACAAATACAGCATCAGGTAGATGGGAGAGGGACCACTAACGGATCTGTGTACAGCCAGGCTTCTCTGTCACCAAGGAAGCGTACGTAGGACTCTAAGTGAAGATTATCTATTAAATCCGCCCAGTTTGCATGTTGTGCATTCTTTATGATGGAATGTTGACCTCAGTTTTCATTTTTGACTTCCACAACGCGTCTGTTGATTGTTACCAGGGATGATCGTCTGCCGGAGACCCAAATCTCGTCCAACCACGACTGCACTTTGTACCATCCGTTACGATTCTAGCAGAGTATGCCATCTACATACTTGCTGTCCTTTAGATTCTTTCATTTCAGTCCAGTGATTGAGTTCATCTTCTCCTGAGCTGTTGAGACCTAAGGAAATCCACCCTATCATCTCTTTTCGTTTCATGCTGCGCTTATTATATACAGACAGTATGAGCGTCACATCGGAAAGCTGAAACAGCGCCACTTGGAAAACGAAGGTCTCTTTGTATACTGGATTTGGCTGACCTCGGCGGATTGACGTTTTGCATTTGGACATCTCTTGCCCCATCGAGTTCAGCAGCGTTAACTTAACATACGTGTCTACAAAAGAAATCATATTTTGGAGTGTCAGATATCTCGGAACCAAAGTTTTCCAGAGCGAGAGGTTTACAAGACACAAGGATATGGTGTATACCAGGTTGACTGAACACAGCTTAGTTTAGACACATGGAAAGACGACGAGTAAGCAAAATATTACAAACACGCTAACAAATTAATTAGCTTCAGAACTGTGTAAATGGGTTAAGTTAAAGGTATACCTCATAATCCTCTTCCCATCAACCCCTCTTGTTTGTACTAAACAAACTTACATTGCATTAACACTTAGCAAGCTCCAACTAGCCACAACACCGTGAAGCATACCACTGAACTTCCAGAGAATAGGAATAAAGAAAATGGAACAAAGGCAAGAAATGAAGATTAAAGAAATAATGTTGGTAAAACAGCCAGAATGAAATGCTTAAGAGTAATCTCTGCATGGATGTGGCTCTCACTTTGGGCTTTTCAATTTGAGATATTTTAAAGACCTCAATGTAGCAAAGTGCATTTAAAGGTGGAACTTTACACAATACAAACAACCCTGCTAATTTGTACCTTCATGAAGGAACACATTTAATACACCTTTAAAGAGAAATAAGGTTTTGCGTCATTTGTACGCTGCTCTTAGGAGGTACATTTAAGAAGCCGACGGAGGCGGGGTTAGCACACACCGGTTGTTAGTATTTGGGTGGAAACCCTTATTTTTAAAGCTCTACTTTCATTTGACTAGAATGGCACCAAGCCATGCTCCAGCAGAAGGATGCGTATTCCATGAAGTTAACTCATTTTAAGAAATATAGAGCTGTATAAAACAACCTGGTGTTTCATTCTTTATATCTGTCATGTTCATGTTAATGAATAACAGTATTGGAAGACTGGAGTGATTTTATGTAGATTTGATGGAAGACTTCTGTAAAAAGAAACACAAGGAATATTTTCACCTTGCAGGTACACTGAAATCCCAACATCCATAATCAGAGATAAATGCAACTGGTGCGTTACAGAGTGCCACAAATAATAAACACATACTTTTATAAACCGATATGGTAGGCAGCTGTGCATAGCTTTACTGCTGGCAAGTTTTCTTTTGCATGAAAAAGACAACATTCAATTAGCTTCTACAAGAACTCACCTCGGATTATATAAACCTGTCCACCTATCAAGTGTTTTAGACAACAGAACAGTCCGTCTGACAACGGGGGGTGGAAAGCAGGAAAAGAAATAATGACCAGATGTCAATAGTTGGGTGAGAGAGGATCAAAGGTTAAAGTTTAAGAGGAAACACTATTCACTGGAGTGGAAGAACACAAACCCCTAGTAGCACAGAGCAGAAAAAGGATCGAACGAAAGGATTGTTGGGTAAAATTTAATGAAATGAAACTTTTTGTGCAGTTCTGGTGTAATCTTTAACAAAAATTACACTTCTTCCATAATGGATTACCTTAGCACTGATAGCTACTGGATTCTACAGCACACTCGACATAGAAAGAATCATGCAAATGACTAGGCAATAGAAGACTGGGTAAAAAAATTCACTGTAGCTTTTACCAAACCTTATGCTTTTTCATGCAAACTCCAGCATATTAAGAAAAACTGCACACAGTAGTTTACTTCATATATAAAAAGCAATAAAATGAAAAATCAGTGAACTGAAAACTAAGCTGGTTTTGCCTTAACTTTTATAGTTTCATATATTCGATTGCAATACTTCAGTTCTTGAGTAGTGACAGACTTGGGCACAAGAATGATTCTGATCTAATCTCTAAAAATAGCTGAGGGATGCTCACATCTGAAATTCAACTCTGGGCCTCTATTTAAAATGTAAAGATCTCACTTGTTTGAATCCATGTATTTATGGATTTAATCTGCATGTGCATGCATACACACACATCCATTTGATGTGCAAAAGCTCTCACCCTGCTTCAACAACGTCTGGAAGAATACTAAGAAGCATCTTTTTCTCAGGCAAAATACTGACTGCCACACCGAGAAACAAAGACACGTATCTCTCTTCAGAACAAGTCCCGACCAAATACTTGCCTACTCTAAATAGTAAGAACTTGCCTATCTGTAGAGATTCTACAAAGACAAGCATAAGCCACTTACTGTTTCTTCTCTAAGGGAACACATGGTCCCTTCTCTCCAGGTTTTCTTTCCTATTCATTCCTTCCTTCCCTCACCCCAGTCTCCTTGTGCCTTCTTGGCTCTCCCCAACTATTTCTATGCTTTGTCTCCAAACAGGTGACTCTGGGACAGCTACCTAACCATATAAAGCACTAGCGATTCTTTCACTTTCCTTCTCTGGCCACGTTAACAAAGTCTGGCTCCATCAGCAAGAAAAGTATAGAGAAAGCAAAGCAGAGTAAGGCTGAGCCAAATGTAATTACCGAATAGAAGAAAACATGGGTCAAGAAAGAAAGAGGAAAGCACCAGTCTCAAGTTGTTTGGCTTACTTCCTGAACTCTCAAGACAAAGTGAGATGCGCAAACCACTTATAAAGCGTTGGCAGCCTGATACATAATCTAGTAATGCCGGATAATCTGCTAGTACCATACAAATCTGCGGATTAAGAAACAGAAGGGCTAAAACCTGAGCCCTCCCCCAGCCTAAATCAAGAGGAACAGGCAGGTACGTCTGGCTACACCTTATGTCCATCAGCCTCATCACGTAAAAACCAGTACAAAATAAATGCGATACGAGTTCATTACTGAACTTTCTCAAGCCATATCAAAGAATTAGACATTAAAAACACTCTGTGCGTGACACCCCATCTGCCTCCAATTTAGAGTTCACAGATATTTCAGACAAATGTATTTTTGAACAAATGCTTGAGCACACAGTTCAAGTCCTTTCTGATGGTGAATATTCCTCCTGCACAACACGCCAGAGGTCTCACTTTGGTTTTCTGTTGCCTTCACTGACATTCCCAAGCTACATAGAGAGCCACCACTTCCACAGAGGCATAACAGCAATTACAGTCTGCAGTATCAACTCCTCTAGGAAAAGCAATAACTGCTCACAATGTTTATATTAACATTAGCTGGCATGTACTTTCTCTTTAAACACTAACTTTTTATTCTTGGCCTGTGATGCGAGACATTAGTAATTTAGGAATTAATCATTCCGATAAAGGTAATTTATTAGTCAGTCATCATGAAAAATTTAAACAGTCTTGTCAACTTACAATTAATGTTTTGAAGCTGAGATTTTTGCTATTTCCCGACTGACTGGAAATATCAAACATGAAATAGATTAGTTGATGATTGCTCTATTTCATTTTGATCGGGTACGACTAAGTGATAGGATTGAAGTCCTTGCTACCGAGAGCCCCACCAGTCCAGAAGCATTAGGATGCATAAAGATTTTCACTCACTGGGTGGTCTGTTCGCTGCCAAGTTTTTGAAGTGGCTGCCTTTTATCACTTCTGCTGATAATCTTCCAGTTGTAGCGTTATAAAGGAGGCCAAGGAGGATTTCTGGAGCTGAGCCATGTACCAGAGACTGACAAGAGGAGGTACTTTCGCTGCAGGACACTTCTGACATGCTCATTTGAGAGTCACAGCCCTAGGAAACAGACACAAAGTTGCATGTATTTTGCAGAACGATGTTACTGGGAAGTCGATTTTTAGAACTATGCACAGAAAACTAGGAAAGCAACTTACTGACAGTAACAGAAGTCTCATTCAATCACCCAATAAGGAATGTACACCCTAAATATACACTCCGTTTGCGCACGTGGAAGCAAACAAAGACTAAAGCAGTCTGGAATTAAAAAAAAAAAAAAAAAAAAAAACACAACAGAATTTGTGTTCCTTTTGCTTCATAATTCAGGAGAAATACAAGCAGAAGATGAAGAGCAGCCTTTGTGGTCCCTGTTTACTTCAATTGCTGTGATAGGACCTGTAACATAATTTGTCAGCATCCTGGAGAACATTAAACGCTGGAGTCTTTTACTTTCCCAGACTGGAAAACACTAGTGGAACTTTGAAGATAATAAAATTCAGGCAATTCTTATTCCTCTCTTGTAAAGGTTATTCTCAAGACTGAGAATTTACAAGTAGCAAAACAACAGAACGCATGCACGGAGAAAAATGCACTGTCTAGAATAAATTAGCTCACAAGGAATTGAACGGATCCAGAGATACGGAACTGCAATAGACCCTTTGTCTTGGGTGGGAAAGGAAGGATGCCATCCTGAAGCTCGGCAAGTGATGCTTTAATTTCCACCTTAGAAGCTTTTCTCATGCATTCTCACCACATCCCGTCTGGGACGGGGGCTTCTGATGCTCATTTTAACCCCTCATTATTTGCCTTAAAAGAAAACTGTACCTTCTTTATGCTGCCACGCTAGTCATCCCCTCCTTGTTCCTACTTTCACTTCTTGCTTTCATGCACTGGCACGTAGAGTTGTACTTCTGAAAACAAGGAACTGGACAGAACCTCGCCAATGGCACAGCAGTTTGCTCAATGGCTGAGAAAAGACTTTTGAATGACCAGTACATCCCTTTAGGGTGTACATCCCTCTCGGAAAAGGGGTAATTTGGATCCACAGAGTTTTCAAATACGGCTTGAATCGTTTGGGAATCTGGCAGCACTCTTCCAAGGAGTCACGATGGGTTTGTGAAGCGGATTCTTCCAGATTCCAAGTGTCTCCATCATTTCTAGCAACAGCTGACGTGGGCACAAATCCTCGTCAAGAGGCAAGTTAACTTTAAAAGCAAGTAACTTCATCTGACACATAAATCTCAGCTGCGTTTCAGAATCTCAAAGTACAGAAGAACGATACCTACAAGAAGAACCTACAATAATATCCTTCACACTGACCTTCTAACTAGTTCTTCTCAATAGAGTATTTCCAAGAGGCTGGACAGAAGGTTCAGCAGCAATGCAGTTCCTCATTAATAAACACTGTTGGTAGTCAATGTATTCTTACTACTCAAGAACCAGCTCAACAAAATTCCCTTAGGTCTCAAATTTGACTGTGACCATGCTGCAAGTCCACAAAAAAGACGTAACACAAAGTGAGCAGCTGGGTAATGCTCTCCCCACCCAAAAACCTCAAAGGCCTTTGATAACTGTACCAAGAGAAGGTGATGACAGCACTCTTTCCTGATGGTGACTTACTTATACAGTTTACTGATGTTCGAATAGGGACTCGGTCTAAATAGGTTTGTGACAGAGTTACACTGGTCACAGTGGGTATAAGAATGACTTTTAAAATGCTAGAAACAGTAAACAGTAAATGAGTGATGACTGAGCGGGGATGAATCCTCAAGTGTACCTCGAAAGGAAGAGAAGTGGTTTCTGTGTGGTTTAACAGAGTAGGGGGGGAACAACTGAAAAATGGAACAAGTGTGATATTACAAAGTTGCATAAGGATAGGCTAGGAAGAGCATTCCTTTCCAGCAGAATCCTGAGTGGATGGACAAGGACAACAGTATGCGTGTTAAGGCCAGAGAAAACAATGTGACCAGCTGAATGGTGGGATGAAAAGACCTAGAGGATGCTTCATACCTGTAAGTGGACGGAAATGCAACTCAGCCACTGTACCTTAGAGCTGCTGCACAGAAAGAACTGGTAGATGCAGTCTTGATGGAAATCTGAAGAGAAGGGTGAACTTCAATATGTTGCTGCAACCATTTCTAAACCAAAACATTTTGCCTTTTGTTTTCAGACAGGTGGCAGGTTCGAAACAAGCAAAAGCATGTTTAATCCTCAGCGTGCAATAAACTTAGGAACCTCCTTCCTACCAAATGCTGCGGTGACAAAAGTTTAATGGCATTAAAATAAAGCAACCAAAGTCACTGAAGAAAGAATCTAAACCATCCTTTGTTTTCCATTTCACATGCAAAATACTCCAAGCCATTCAGCTGCATGCTGGTCTGAACGTACTTTAAAGAATACTCTGCTTTTCAGTTATGAACTGGAAAATCCTAATAGAAAAGGAAGCGAGACATTAAGAAGAAAAATGAAGCAGTGGGGTGTGAAGCAGCTTGGAAGACAGGCTGATGTGACTGGGTAAACCCAGGGTTCAATGACATAAACCAACGTATAGTTTCTGTGTCTATGATAAGGTATGAAACAGAATTTGGGGGAAAGCAGGTAAAAGGCATGAAAAAAAGGGGAAGGTAAGGTTGTATTTTGTCAGTTTTCTTTCGGAAGAAAACAGAAGACCTTAAGAGGAAGAAAAGGAGAAACAGGAATCAGGGAAGGCAAAGAGCTGAAATCAGCAGGGCTCAGATCAACAACTGAAGAAAGTCTCTTCGTTGACAAAGTTAAACCCAGGGATACCGAGCATTATCAGATGTCTTCTCAAAAGTATGTTCTCCAAGCACAGAGTTAATTGTTCACATTGTGGAAATCCATTCCTTGTTTTACGTAAGGCATTTCGTGATTCTCACGACTGTTGGTAAGCAGCCTGACGTTAACCCTGTAAGGTGCATTAGAAGTGAGTAACAACTGGTTTTCAAGCCTGTTGAGAGGGTTTGTTTTCCTGTTTCTAGCCCAAATTCAAGAGGAGAGCTACCAAACACAACAAGAAAAAAGTCAGACAAGAAGTTACATTTTTACCTGCTCAAAACGTAAGCTTCAAACTGTGCAATATTAACACTGGAATTGCTAATTGGTACAACATGAGTATAAACTTAGCTACAGTGAAGCCTTCATCTCATGACAACATCACAGTGCTACCAGATGCTTTTCATCTCCTCACAGATCTGCATTCAATCTATCTGTAACTCTATCTGCAGGTGACTCTGATGCTGTAGCTTCGTTGTGGGAAACAGAATATTTAGACCAAAATTACTATTTGTTTGAAATATTCTGTCTACCTCAGTTTATTTTTACAAGTCTTCCTTCTCTTCCTCTATAAACACTGTGTGTATTTTAATAAGCAGGGGAAAAAAGGGACTGAGGTTCCCTAATTGCAAAAGCCTTTCAAGGTCAGTGAAGCACCAGAATAGCCCAGTAAGAACTGCAGGAAAGTCTTAAACGCACAGTTTTAAGAACTTAGATGAACTGTCAAGGTATTGATGATCTGGCCCCAGTGCAAGGATTTGGCTCTTGAGTTTGGCTCCAGGATGTTAATGCTAAACTTCCAACCTATTCTTGTCAATTTAGCCACAACAACAACCACAAAAGCTATGGACAGGAAATACAAGCAAACAAATATTAAGCAAAGTCTGTTCCAAATATTTGGTTCAAATACAGTAAACCACGATTTTTCAGCTTTTCATTTTCCAACACAGAGCTTTGGGCAGAGGACCTAAACATTGCCCTTATACACCACGGGACAGCGCTTCATTACAAAATCAGGTGGATTTCATTTGGTCAACACTTACCAGAATCACTGCTTTCCACTGGGTTATAAATGTGTTACTCTACAAAACCTTAGTTATTACTTCTCCAAGCTACTGTCATCCTTGGTGGCTTCTCTGCACACAGTATGTGGGGAGGAAGCATCACTTTCAAATAAATACATATTAAAACCATTCCCATTAAGTGGTATTTGGGTTTCACACGTTCCTATTGTACAAAAGTTGGCAATCACAAAAGAAGGCTCTTTCATTTTTCCCTAGTGTCAGTGGAAGTGAACACACGCAATACAGCCTGTCAGACCTGAACCCCTAAGGATGTTCAATAATCTTTCTCTTTGCCTAGAGAATAGAGAATAGAGAATCCTCTATTTCCAACAATGATAATATATGTGAAATGTACTTATTTGTCTTCCTTCACCAAAATTCCATGGAAACAGGGTATTTGTTACTTACATATTCATGTCCTACTGTTATTTTCCTATAGACTGAAGTTCTGCTCCTAAACTCTGCTCCTACGCCAACTGGAGCTAATCACAGGGATTAACGTGGCCATGCTCCGAGGGCAGTTAAAAGTTCACTTCCCTCAACGCACAGGTTAAAATCATGCCTCCATAGGCTTACGAAGTGAGACCATCTGATCCTCTTGGCTTTTCAGAATAGACACAGGAAAGATGAAACCTTGCTGACAATCCTTCAGCAACAAAAATCTGATTCACAGCATGTTCCTTGTCAAAATGCCTCTCTCAAATTCTAAATGTTAATGTTATACCAGTAAATCTCGTCAAGGACTTTTTTTGCACGTTACTTTCTTCTTCTTCTTCTTTATCAATACAACCGAGAGGTTAGGGAAGGAAATTTGAATCCCAGCAGGCAAACGAGAGAACTGAATCCAGGTCTCCAGCATTTTAGATAAAAGTATTTCTCTCTCTTAATCACCAGTGTGGAACCCCGAAGCTACTGTTCCACTTGGAGGCAAAAGCTTGCTGAGGTGATGAGAGCACCCAGGCAACCAAAGAGGCTCCAGACCAGCTCTTAGCCTGGAGCCCATCCTCTGCTCCTGCACTGCGAGCCAGGAAGGAGGAGAACAAACCTAGAGGCTCCACATCCCTCATTAGTGGCTGAAGCACTCAATGCTTTCTAACAACATGTTTCAAAGCCACACCAACTTCTGGAAAAAGAAACCAACCCCAAGATCATTCCTGGGAAAGAGAACTTAAACCACCTGAAGTCAGCCCCGGAAACACAGGG